CATACAGTCACTGCACTTTACAGTGTGGCTTCGGTCACCCTCCTACCCCTGCCCTCCCCCCCTCCACCCTCCTGATCCCAACCACCAGCTCGGTTGCGCATCCCTGATTGTCCAGCGCCTCGGGACGTGCTCGTGACGTGAAAGGCGCTGCACAAATATAATTTGCCGTTGAAGCGCTTTGAGACGTCCTGCCGACATGAAAAGGTGCTGCGCCAAACAAGTAATGGTTATTAACGTAGGTACCGAAGAGTTGGTCCTGCGAAATAGAAGAGAATCGAGAGAGTGCGAGTGTGTGTGGCACTCCTGGTAATGTCATTAAAATTCTCAGCCTTCCAAACCATCTCCAGAGTATTGCTCTGAGTCTGACCTGGGACTCTCGGAAAGTGAATTGTGGAAAACGAAGGGCGCCAGAAGTGGACTGGTTCTTGTGAGGCCAAGACTCTGGAGAAGAAGTGCTTTTTTCTTCCCCACTCACCCCCCCCCGCCCCCAGTGCCTGGTAATCTACACAGTACTTGTTCCTCATTACAGCTGGTGGATTTTACTCGAGCTCCTGGGAAATGTTTATGGAAAGCATTTCAGGAATAAACAGCAATAGGAATGTACTTTCGTTAGTTGCGTGTGTGCGTGTGTAATCTTCCAAAAAGTAAAGGATGGGAAGAGTACATGATCGGTTTTGTTATGATAAAATCGAGTCTACAAGTCGCTTTCTATATTATTTGTGAAACCTACAGAATAAATTCCTTCGCTGGCGAAAGCCAAGTCCGAGCACTTGTGAGTGAAGCGTTATACTTTGACTGATGGAGAATTCTAGAAATTTACATTGTGGAATAATAATAATAAACCTTACATTTGATATAGCGCCTTACCACATCAAGGTAGGACGTCTCAAAGCACTTCACAGGATTTACCCTGAAATGGAGTGACCGTGTATTTGTCAACAAAGACAACAGCACAATTGCGCACAGGGAATTCCCACAAACAGACGTGGAGTGAACGACCGACTTTATTTGGGGGGACTGTTGACCAGGACTCCGAGGGAGAGAGAGAGGGAAATTCCTTTCTCTTAGCGAATAATGCCATGGGATCTTTATCGTCGACCTGAACAGGCAGATGGGACCTCGGTTTAATCTTTCATCCGAAAAGCTGCACCTCCGATATTGTAGCAAACTCCCCCCAGCGCTGCATTGCATTGTCAACTTGGACTGTGTGAGTTCAAGTCTCGACGTGGTATTCGAATCCACAACCTTCTGACTCCGAGGCGAGAGTGCTACTATTCATGGCCCATGAAGTCTGTCCCAGGTCCCAGAGTGAGCTGTTTCGTTCAATCCCACTATCGCGCTCTAACCCCAAACCCTTCCAATTCCTTGCCTTTCATCTACCCGTCCACTTCTGCCTATGAAAGCACGTCCCGGTTAGCTCCCGCTAGACGGGCTTAAGTGGGGAAAAGGGAGAAAATGATGAAGATAGAAGTAGAGGAGGAGGAGAAGAAAGTTTGCAACAGCTGTGTTCTGCTGTGGTCTTGGCTGTGCTTTATCCGTGTTTTCTTTTCTGGCTAGTTTAAAACAAACATTGACCAAAGAGATAATGGGAAGAGTAATGATTGGTGAATATTTAACAATTCCTCAGGCTGATGGAGAGCCAATAATAATAATAATAAGCCTTGCCTTTGATACAGCTCCTTATCATGTCGCCAAGACATCTCAAAGCGCTTCACAGGATACACTGTAAAGTTGATTAACTGTATTTTGTGGGCGAAACGTGACAGCCAGTTTGCGCACAGCAATGTCCCACAAACAGCCATGGAGCGAGTGACCAATTTTATTTTGGGGACGGGGAAGGGAGGATAGGATTGTTGGCCAGGACGCCAGGAGAGAGAAACTCCCTTCTCTTTTTGAATAGTGGGATCGTTGCCTGGATCTTAATGGGACCACCTTTCATCGTCTCATCCCAAGTGGTTGAAGTTCAGAGTGGATGTCATCTTGTATCAAGAAGCCTTGATGAGTTCTCGATCAAGACGTCCTGATCACTGGAAATCTTTTTTTCAACCCTCCCCCCCTATGATGAAAATTAAACGACAGAGCCAAGTGAAAAATGCGTTGCCCTTGAGGCTGGGAGCGATTATTTTATCCTTTCCCAAAGTGCACTGAATTAAATCTGGTAAAATAGATTGACCTGACGATCATTAAGTAAGCCTTTTAATAGAATATTTTACAATTTGTGACTAATTTAGATAAAGTGCGCCAGTCCAGCTATTAAGACGTGCTATGGAGGAGCATGAAGGACTGTGTGTGCAGGGACCTGCTTGCCATTGGAGGAGGCCAGGCTTACATACAGAGGAACGAACAGGAGTAGGTCATTCAGCCCCTCGAGCCTGTTCTTCCAGTCTATTAGATCATGGCTGATCCGTGCCTCAACTCCAATTATCTTCCTTTTTCCCCATATCCCTTGATACCCTGACCTAACAAAAATAATTCAGCCCAGATTGAAGTCTGTTGCCTGCCAGGGTTACTTCACATAAACCCACTAATCCCTTTCACACCCTCGCACTTCCCGATCTCCTCCCAACCCCACTCGTCCGCTCCTCCGATCGGCTAAGTGCAGGCTGAGCTTTCTGATTCTACCCACCATCGTCACCCCACCCCCCCTCACCTACTCCCTTCCTCTCCCCCTCTGAAACTCGCTGTTGTAAAGCTCTGATGTGATTCTCAGTGACGGGTGCTGAATAGATTGATAATGTTGTTCTACTTTTCTACTTGCCAAACATCCCCAATCTTTTGAGGATAACAAAATAAACAACAAATTACATTTGTATCGCACCTTTCATGTCGGGAAGTGTTCTTCCCAGATGGAGGGCAACCTGCGCCCAATTGGACACGCTTAAATTTCTATTACAATGTGTAGTGACTGTATTTGTAGGTGGACACGTTACTGCAAGAAAGTTCTGCCAGGGTAAGCTGGCATCCGGCTTTTCCAGATCCAGCACGCTTGACACCACAGAATTCTTTCCAGTAGGTGAAGATCTTAAAGATCAATTTGGAGCTTTGCACAATTTTTTTTCTCTGGAATTTTGTTTTGCCAAAAGAAGCGAGATCTGGCTGGCCTGTTTTATTTAACCCCCACATAGACCTACTCGAGGTAAAATGCATCTCCCGATGGCACTGCAAAGGATGTTTTACTTTGACTGGATGCTAGGGGGTCACTTCGCTTGGCAGTGTACTCTGTGAAGCGCTTTGAGGTGTCCTCCAACATAAGAGACGCTGTATAATATGTAAAGATTATCATTGGAATCGCAAGATCACAAAATTGGTTCTGATAACCGGGGCTTTTTTGACCTAATCCGATCGCGTCCCACCAGAGCACCGCCTTACTCTCCTCCCATCATGGCATCAAGCTGTTACTTAAAGGAGTTCCAGTGTCCTGGCCTGGTCCAAACTTCCAGGCAACCTGTTTCTGTCATTAATTACCCTCTGGATAAAGGAAAAAAACGTCGTAAAATTGTTCCTGTGCAACTCTTAATCTTGTATCCTCTTGTTCTAGGAACAGGAGTAGGCCATTCAGCCCCTCAAACCTGTTCTGCCATTCTGTTGATCGTGGCTGATCTATACCTCAACTCTAATTCCCGTCGTCTACTGTCTCGATGGTTCCCAAAATATTACTGTTCCGGGTTTACTTTCTCGCTCCCATTTTAAAATGATTTACACCCCCTCCGAGTCATCTTCTCTCAAGACTGAAGAGTCCCAGCTCGCCTAATCGTTGCTCAGTGGGTCAAGCAGGTCCCGAATGGAGCCTCTCTAACCTCGCGAGCTCATCAACCTGCCCAACGCACTGTCGGCTGGCATCAGCCCAACTCGCCCCAAAGTTGGACTTGTTAATAACACTCGAGTGTATTGAAAACTCTTTGAAAATGGATTATTTGTGTAATGAAGACCACAGATTTCCCAGGGTGAGGTCTTCCAGCTGGAAAAACATTTGCTCTTTCAGACTCTCTTTTTCCCAGGCTGCAGCGTCTTTCCTCTCCCACAGTTTGGGTTATGGCAGAAGCTAGACCTGCACATTGGCTGTGACGTTCCAAAAGAAGCCTTTTGGCACTTATTACTTGAGACGTCTCAAAGACTTGATAAGGCACTCTATCAAATGCAAGGATTATTATTATTATTGATGGGACCGTTTGGAAAGAGAAGCAAGTTTCTCCTGGTATTTTGGCCAGCGCTCTTCTTTTTCCCCTAGTTAGTGGTCTCACCTCCGAGTTGGAAGGTTGTGGGTTCATGTCACCGTCTTGGGAGCTCGTCGAGAGGGCTAAGAAGGGGAGGATGACATTTATTTTCCTCCACAAAACACAGTAAATTCACTTTACAGTATATTCTGTGAAACACTTTGAAGATGTGATAAGACGCTAAATAATCCAATGCAAGGATTATTATAATGAAGAAACACACACTTGAAGGTGGATAGATTTTTGCTAAGGAAGGGTATCGAGGGATACATGGCAAAGGCGGGTACTTGCAATTGAGATAAAGATCAGTCACGATCTAATAGAATGGTGGAACAGGCTGGAGGGGCTGAATGGCCTCCCCCTCGTTCCCATGTTCCAATGGGAAAGTGCAGCGCCCTTTCCAGTTGCTTTCTATTTACTTATTGCTGGTTTGGTGTGTTTTTCTGTCAAAAAAACAGACATCGCCGTCTTGTTGAAATAATGTGTGTTTATAACTAAGGAGCCTTAAATAATTCACGTACAGTAGAAATCTTGCGCTAATGATTTTTTTGTGCAGTCAAGCAGTGTGCCTCTATCCAGCCCCCCCCCCCCCACAACTCCCCCAACCACCCAGAGTCTCAAAAAATTTCCCCCCTTGTATTTTTGTTGTTCCACTGAACGAAGCATTGTTTGTTTGTTTGTTTGTGCTACAATTTAGAACACCACTCCATACCGTGGTTCTGGTGGAGGGAAGATTGATAACAATCAATGATTAATTGATTGACGTGGTGGTGCCTTTCACCCTCGTCAAGGGAGAGGACGTCTACCAAGCCCTTTCACCGCGGGAAGTGCGTGAGGACCCGCACCTCTCTGGCGTCGGACTCCTCGGCGTTCCCTGGAACATTCCAGCTCAGCGTGCTGCTGCAGAGCCGGTACAGCGCGGAGGCGCTGGCCTTCCTCTTCACATACAGCCGTAGCTTGTCCCTGAAGGTCTCGCCCAGGAAGCTGTAGATGATGGGGTTCAGGCAGCTGTTGGAGAAGGCCGCCAGGGTGACCACGTGATGGACCAGCGGGTGGTAGCGGCCGGCGGGCTCTGGATAGCCAGGCCCCTGCGAGCCGAGGGCCTCCGAGGGCCGCTGCTGTCCCTGCAGGAGCCGGAAGCTGATGAAGATGTTTTCCGGCAGCCAACAGACAAAGAACACGAGCACCACCACCGCGATCATGCGCAGGGCCCTCTGTCGCCGCGGCCAGAGCCGCCTGTGCTTCTGCGCCCTGACCAGCACACGGACGGTCAGCGAGTAGCACAGGCCGATGACCGAAAAGGGCAGCACAAAGCCCAGCGTCACCTCCATCCACTGGATCTCGGGCACGTCGGCAAAGCAGAAGGTGGGCTCGTCCGCGTGGCTGGCCTGAACCACGGCGAAGGGCCGAGAGCCGCCAACACGGCCGCCAGCCAGATCAGCCCGCAGCTCCACCGGGCGTGTCGCATGGTCCTCAGGGGGCCCGAGGGCTTCGCTGCCCAGGCCAACGCCAGGTAACGGTCGAAGCTCATCCAGGTCAGGAAGAAGATGCTGCTGTACATGTTGATCTGCAGGAAGAGGGACATGAAGGTACAGAGCACGGCGATGTCGTAATACCTGTCGTTCAGGTTGAAGACTTCGATGAGGGAGTCGGCCACGAGGATCAGGTCAGCCGCGGCCAGGTTGACAAAGTACAGGTCCGGGATGGTCATCTTCTCATGCTGGTCCAGGTTGACCACCAGGATCAGGCTGTTGCCGATGAACCCCACGGGGAACAGGAACACCGTGTACACACAGGACAGGAACAGGCTCACGCTGTAGAATTCTGCGTCCTCTCCCTCGCCACCGTTGGTGTAGTCGCAGCCAGGCGTCCCGTTACACTGCCGGGAGGCGTTAAACTCCGTGACATTGGGAAACAGCAGCCTCTGGGCCACCAGCTGGGCTTCCATGATCTTTTAAAAAGGCCGCTGTTCTCTTTCTCGCTTTTTCTTTTTCTCTCTCTCTCCTCCACTCACAAAATATTGTGACGGCGAGAATCTTTTTTGGCTTCTTGTCCATCACATTTATCCCTGGGTGTGGGGCGGTGTGTTCGATCACACAGCCTCTCGTATTTCTCCACCACACCCCGCACTCTGTGGAGTCTGGCTGCGGTTCGGCCCTGGTACCTGCAGCTACTTTGTGACCTGGGATCAGTTAAAGCGTTGCCCATCTCCAGTCCAAAGGGCTCAAAGGTTCAAAGCGATGTCTGGCCAGCTTCCAGCCGAGCCCGCACTCTGTGTTTTGTGGGCGCATGAGTTTGGAATGGGTGTCTGGATGGACAGAGATTTGTGTGTTTGCACTGTTCTGTTGTCCACTATCTTCCCCCCACCTCCCCACCCCCTGCCACACCCTCTCCCCTCCTGTACCACTGCAGAAGCTTGCGATCAAGGGGGGAAGCCAAGCTATTTTGGTGTTAATTCCCCAAATCGAACCAAATGCCTTCAACGGTTCAGCTGTTGAGAAAGGCAGGCAGCTCCCACCTATGGTGGAGTATTTTTGGTTTGTGTACTGGAAAGCTTTATATCTTCTCTCGCTCGCTCTCGCTCTTTCTTGAAGAAAATCCTTCTCTCTTCCCGTTGGGAACAAATGCTGACTCTTTGAGAAAAATCCAAGCAAGGCAGAATCCAGCACCTTGTAACAGCAAGAGAGGGGAAAGGAGAAGATGGATTAGCACATATTGAACCCACAGAAGAAAATAAATCCTCTTCCCTCCTCTGCTGCCTGACCTGCTGAGTGTTCCCAGCGATATGTGTACTTTACAGCTTTGTCAAGTGAGATATGAATTTTGAATAGAATCTTTTGATGGAGAACTTTTCACAACAGGAGCACATCTCAAAGCTTTTCACAGTAAAGTATAGTTAAAATACTTGACTTTCTTCTTGCCTACAGTAATGCTCAGCAAACAGAAACACGTGTGTATGTGATAAAGTATATGTGATAAAAAGTAACACTGCATGCTTCTGACTTAACCCACTCTCCAACAACAATTCATTGGGACGGGTGGTGTGATGGGGGTGGGGAAGAGATTATGATTTATAGCAATCCAAGGTTTTGGAGATGAGTATTTGTGGGACACACTCACTCTAATGGCAGCTGAGTTGGCTTCAAAGGGAATCATTAACCCCCCCAGAGGTTTGGAGCATTGATTTTACTCCTGCTTTGAGCTTCAGCTCCCCCGTAAGTCAGAGACGTGTTTTGCATGGATATTAGAGAGTGGTTTATAAATAAACAGGATCTTAGGCTTTCCATGAGGGTGTGACTCTTGTGATTTTAAACCATGTTACTTGTTATGGGGCTGGCAAATCTTCTGAATAAAATTCAATCAGTAAAACTCACAGAACAAAGTGTTCACTCAGTCCCACTGTCCTGCCTTATCCATTACCCCAAGCCTCTATCCTTCATACACACACATCTATAAAAAATAATTTGGTCACTCAATCCATGACTGGTTATGGGACACTATTGTACGCAATTCACCCACAGAATATATAGTCAATTCACTTTACAGTATATTCCGTGAAGGGCTTTGAGTCGTCTCAACAACTTGATAAGGTGCTATATCAAATACAAGGATTATTATTATAACCTCTCTAATTCCTTCTTGAAACCCACCATGGACTCTCCCTCCACTATCTTAGTTGGCAGACAACTGAATCGGAAAAAAAACATTCTTCAAAGCTCTTCTCAGACAGTTTCTTGTTCAACAACAACAACTATTTAGATCTATAAAGTGCTTTTCATTTACCAGCATAGAACATCCAACAGCACTGCACAGTAGTGGGATTTGACTGAGCGAGGAGGAGGGGGAGAGGTGACTGTAAACCAACAAGCTATGAAAGGGTGCTTGCTGGATGATTGGCTGTCATGTGAAGGAATGTTCCCCTCTCTCGTCAGATAGTGGATGGTTAAAAATGTGAATGATAATAATCCTTGCATTTGATATCGTACCTTATCACGTCTTCAAGACATCTCAAAGCTCTTTGCAGAATATACTGTAAAGTGAATTGACTGTGTACTCTGGGGGCGAAATGAGGCAGCCAGTTGCTCACATCAGCGTCCCACAAACAGTCGTGGATTGAAGTGACCAATATTTTTTATGAATTGTAATGTTTCAAAAGTTATTGCACTTGTGGTCACTCCGAGAAGTGTTTACTTGTCTCATGGCCAAGGGCTCCCCTCGCTCTGGATGGCTCAACCCATTGGACATCAGCCAGTTTGGTTCCTCCTGAGCAAACGCTCAGGGGCATAGTGCCTGCTCTCCAGTCCTTGAGTGAGTACCCTTGGATCCAGGCAGTCTTGAGGGTTTAAGCCTACAAAATACACACTTGATCCACTTCATATTACATCCTGTGAAGCGCTTTGAGACGTCTCAACGATGTGATAAGGCGCTATATCAAATTCAATGATTGCTATACTGATTAAGTACTGCGTTGGTGCTGACAGTGGCGGAGGTGTGTTGGGGTGGAGTTGGGGGGAATTGGTAGCACGAAAAATGTGGGCCTTATTAAAACATGAATCCTAGAAATGTTCCTAAGGACCCAGTGTTCCGTTTGGGCCTCGGTGCAGGCCGGGACGACTCAAAAAGAGCTCCACAGGATTCACCGCAAAGTGTAGTGTAGTGACTGCGTATTTCTGTAGGGAAGGAAACGCAGCAGCTAATTTTGCCCACAAACAGCCGTGAAGTGAAGTGACCCGTTTTATTTGGGGGGTGCGGTTGTTAGCTAAGTAACTGGCTGCGGTGGATGGGGTGAGGGATGGCTGGGTGCAGTCTCGGGATGTGCATCGCAGTTGCTTCTGACTCGGGGACCGGTGGGGTGGGGGGCTGGGCTAAGCAGTGGTTAGTTAAAGTTTTGTTTCAGTTTGGGAACGAGAGATCCTGGATTTGAGGTTGAACAGTCAGAGAGAGTCCACGATTGGTCCCAGTTGGGTTTTTTAAAAAAAACTAGTGGAACCTTAGTGGTGAACTCTTAACTATTGGAACTAAATGTCAAGTATGGAAGGTCTTGCTGGTAAACTACAGTTTTAGCCTTGCACCGTCAATAGCGCTCTCGCCTCTGGGTCAGAAGGTTGTGTGTTTCTCCCCTACACCACCCACCATCACTTTGGGGGATTTGAACCGACAGTCTAGGATGATGCCCCAGGTCAGTAGTACTGGTTGGGTGGGCGCAGGAGGTGGGTGGGCGGGCGCTGCATTGTCGGAGGCGCCAGCCTTTGGGTGAGACGTTAAGCCAAGCCGCCCATGTGTGCCCTGTTCACGTGGGTGTTAAATCTCCTTTGCCGCAACGCCCCTTTCAATAAGAAGCGATTCTCAGTCATTCACTTCGTGGCCGTTTTGTTGGCCGTGCACAAAACGAGCCGTGGCTTTTAGGCGTCAAAATACACAGTCACTACACTTGACCACCAATTCCCCGTGACGCCTTTTGGAGATGTGAAGTTAAAGGGTAAAGGTTATAATGTGGAGTCCTGTAGCTCAGTGGTTAGAGCACTCACTTTGCAAGTGAGAGACCTGAGTTCAATTCCAGGCAGAGGGCGAAACCTTGGGCAAGTTTCCTTACTCCACACAGAGCCTAATAATAATCCCTCCAAAAAAAAACAATAATGAATTGGTCATTTTCAATTGACTGTTTGTGGGACATTGCTGTGCGCAATTGGCTGCCGCGTTCGCCCACAAATATACAGTCAATTCACTTTACAGTGTGTTCTGTGAAGCGCTTTGGGACGTCCTCCCGACCTGAAAAGCGCTATATCAAATGCAAGGATTATTATTATTATATTATAATTTGACCCAGTCGCTCTCCTTCAAATTTCCTGGTGCTTCACAGCAGCAACTGGTCTTCTGGTCTATGTAATGGGACACATTTACTTGAATATATTGTTTCACACAAGACATCTTGTGTGTAATTTGTTCCTGTTAATATACACATGATTGTCCTGTTATTGGGTCGTTTGGGGTCTCTGTCTTTTACCAAATGTTTTTTCTCGCTGTTAAGACGGCTATCGACCTGTGTGCAGTGTACAGTTTTGACAGGGGTTCACTATCTATTGTAAATGTTATGGTGTCGCATTATTTCTGTTTGCAATCTCGGGCCAAACACAGTCTGTGATGATTTTAAACGTTTATTCTTTTATGGCCACGTTTTTATCTTTTTTGTGTTCTTGTCAGGTTTGGCGTGATTTTTTTCTCTCCCTCCCCCTCTCTCTCTCTCTTGCTACCTCTGTACTTGGATCCCAAAGTCAACACAATCAAGGGTGTACCCCAGTGGTTAGAAGGTTGTGGGTTCAAGCCCCACGTTGAAACTTTGAGCTCACTGTCTAGGCTTGGCTGGCACTCCAATACAGTGCTGGCGGGGAGGAGGGAAAGAGAGAAAGAGAAAGAGCAGGCTTTCTCATTACGAGGTGCTGTCCTTTGCATGAGATGTTAAACAGGTCCTGCCTATGCCCGTTCGGGTGGACGTTAAAGATCCCGCGGCGCTGTTCAAAAAGAGAAGTGAGTTTCTCTCGCCCGGTGTCCTGACTAACAGTCCCCCAGGTAAAATTGGTCATTCACTTCATTGCTGTTGGTGGGACACTTTGCTGGGCGCACATTGGCTGCCGAGTTCACCTACAAAATGTGCAGCTTTACCGCATAAAATACAGTAAAACTTTGAGCCTCCTCTATAATAATAAGATAATAATAATCCTTGCATTTGATGTAGCCCCTGATCACGTCGTTGAGACATCTCAAAGCGCTTCACGGAATACACTGTAAAGTGAATTGACCGTATAATTTGTGGGCAGCCAATTGCGCACAGCAGTGTCCCATAAACATCCCACAATTGTGGATTGAACGACCAAATTATTTTTTTTAAGGGATTATTATCCTCTATGACTTGATTAGATGTTGAATTGGAGTGCAAGGACTATTATCATTGCATCCTGGGGTCTAATTGCTTCTCATCGTCTTATAAACCTTCTATGGGGCAGAAGATGAAAAGGAAATGAGGACCACGTGAAATTGCTAGCGAAACAATTTGTACTGTATGATACGAGGACCCAGCCTTTGTTTTNCTTTTTAAAAAGCAAACTGGCAAGCGTGGCTAATTATTAATCACGTTAAACACACCTGAACAATGGTGGTGAAAACAGTCGGTCAGTGGCTTGACGGTGGGAGCCGTGCAGTGTTTGGACAAGTGACAAGTGTGTTGCTCTTCAATCTGCGCTCATTTCCGTGTTCCATGCAAAGCGTTTGACCAGGTTGAGCACAGCCGATCAATATAATTAAGGAGCCTGGTTCAGATGCTTCTCCGTTCTCCCAAGCAGTCGTTTGTCATCCACCAGTTGGAGCC